TCATGTTAAATTCATAACCCGAGAATAAAAATATTTACTTATTTAGATGCATCAACGCCAACACCCAAAGGGGCATCGGGGCTGTAAAGCTGTTGGGAGGCCTTAGTTTTGGACAAAACATTGTCATCTATCTGAGCATTTTTAATATTGTTGCTTACACGCTACTTTTCACAGCCCGACTAGCAGTTGATTTTCTGCCCCCATTTGCAATGCGATTCGCTGAATGGTTGATCCTCACTCTTACTATTTTAATCCGCCAATTTGTCGACTGAATCAAATCTCATGTGTATACATACTCAAGTGTTTTTTGGTGTATTGATTACTAAGCTTGGGGGAATAAACCCACCCAGCTTCGGTCTACCCTTGTGTGAGAAGTCGGGTATCATCTAAGTGTCCGTACTATATCCGCTCGGGACATATAACATATATATAACACATATAAGCATAAACATGGTACCATTTCCGCCAGCTTCTTTGACCTTAGGGAAGACAAGCCTAGCCACATCATCCAGCGTCAAACTTTGAGTTCGTTTGGAGTAGATGTTTGAGAGGTTTAGTAAGTGAAGCTCAGTTTGGAGTGCACCTTTGGCACTAACTTGCCAGGCAGGTTTACAGCCACCGGCTGTGGGTAGTTCAGAATAGTTGGCACTTTATCAGTGGGCGCGTACTATTGTAGTGAATGGTATCCGCAAGGAAATCAAGCGATTGGACTCCACTTTGACATCTCTGGATGTTGGCCGTGGAACCATACTCTTGCAACCTGTGGAGTGGAGTCTTCACATGTTTTGGGTGAGTTTCTTTATCTGGACTCACAACGATCCAGTAGTTGATGAACATGTAGGCGAAATCCTATCAACGAGAGATGTTATCCACGAGGTATTGGGATGTTAGTGCTGCATTCAAAACGCTTAAAAGTGACTGTTTTTGAAATATCTTCTTCTGCCATCTGTGTCTTATTGTACTGTTTGACTATGCTGACCCTGAAAAAGACATTCACGTGCTCGAAGTCGAATTCATTTCATAGATGTCCGCTATCGGGTGTTGTTTTGGCGTTAAGCCACTGGTGATCACCGACCAGATACCAGTCGTTGTCATCCTATTCGGAAACCATGTGCGATGGTGATGCCGAAAAACTGTCCGGAGGTGATGTCGAGATCAAGGTTGTGATCAGACTCGCTTTCCGCATTCCTGAAATTCTCAGAAGTTGTGCGGCTTGCCTTGATGCCGCATGTTGACTTGTGGCTGCGGTGTGATGCATAACATTGCCAGTTGTCCACATCAGGGTACACTTTAGATGTCTCAACTCCGGATATCTCTCTAACGCTGCCTGACAGGACGCACCTACCGGGTGTTCCGTTCTGTGGCTTAACTCAGACCTAAGTGTGAGGCTCTGCCAATAGAAAGCTTCGTGTTCTTATCCATCAGTCGTTGTCGACGGATGCCTATGAGTGGGTGTTAATGGTTCAGCAAAGTTACGACAACGCGGGCCTGGAAACATAAACTAGAAAAATCAGACGGACAGGTTTGCGTAAACTCAAGTTAAGGTAGGCACGCCTCTGCCCGAAGGTTCCCATTGCCTTATCCTTAGCTACCGGCAGATTGAAAGATGGGTCATAATGACGTGCGTTTGTGGTTACGGGAAGAACACTACTTTCTACACCAGCTTTGGTGAGGTATTGGGCTCCCTTTTTCATGTCGTGACACGCAACAAACGGCTTCTTTTTGGCCATTCTGCAGCCGGCGACGGTTGCTGTTAACGCCTGCTGGTTAGGCGATGTGCCGGTTTCGTACTGTCTTCGTAAAAGGCATACGGATTTTGATGGTTTTCCGTTTCTTTGCTTTAGGTGTCGTGGAACCAACGTCACTTAGAATTTTCGACCATGCGAGAATTAGCTTCGGGACCACCACGTGAATCGCTGCGATAGGACGATTCGGGCTGTTGGTGTTTAGTTTGTCATGACCTGTGGTTTCAGATCTGTAGAGACAGTTTGACAGAGTTGCATGGCTCTGTAGTCTCTGAATTCTGACTCCTGGGTTTTTCGTTGACATAACATACTTGGAAGGCAGATCTACTAGAGATCCGCAATATTTTAACGTTTGATGTTGCCAAGTCACTGATGGGAACCGAGTGGAATGTCTCTGAGATGATTTACACCTGCAGCGTCAGTTTCCTGAGAAGCAGTTGGCAGAAAAAGCCGTCGTCAAACGTTATTTGACCAATAACGTCTCGCATGAATGCGAGCACTTGAGCTACTAAGTTATTTCCTAATGTCGCGAAAAAACTTAAATAAGCGTAGACGATCCGTGGGAGCACTTTCCTTTGGGATGGCTGCTTTGGGGTGAGCAGGAAGACTAATTATTTAGTAAAACAATTTTTGCATGACTAATTATTTCATCGTTGGACATATGCATCGTAAGGTAACCATTTTATTCCCAGTGTAGTGATCATATGACGCCAAGAAAAGGAAAGTGAGAAACCGCGACTTCCTGTTCTCGGAACTTACGCCTTGCCCACAAAAACCACTTTTCTGCGTTGCTTGGCTGCGATACCGCACGGCCGCTCGGGCAACCCCAGGCAACCTGATAACTTGCTACTCCATTCAGCCTGGATGGTTGACTGTTTGCATCCGGCCTAGCGAGTCCGTTAGAACTGTGAAAGTTGGCGCCAATGTTGAATCTTGTCGTGCATCGGGTTATTGATTTCGGGGGACTGCTTGTCTTTACAACCGGTGCAGTTTGTGGCACCCCGATGTTCGCTGCTTTCGGAATAATGAGTCTGATTTTACTTATTTGCTTGTGCTCCCAGATCCGGATGTATCACGGACCCTTGAAACGTGACAAGACATGCGTAGGGGGTTCTCTACAGTCGTTCTGGACAAAACGTGCACCAGAACAGAGGTCCTAACTCGTAATGGTGATGGCCTTACTCTGCATATTCACGGCCGCCTAAGGTATTGGCTGTAATATTTATGTGGCATACTGAAGTGGCACATGGGAGGCTATAGGTGAAAAGTTCAAGCCATGAGGAATGACAAGTTCAACAGTCCGCTCAGGTATAGACTGCCTTGCCGAAGAATTTCTCCTAAATTACTTTAGAAATGGGGCGATAGTAATAGATGTCTAATTATAAAAGGCTTTAATGTACCTAGTATTAATTGGCAAGAGACCACCGTATTTGAGCCAGGTAGCTGTTTTGATGACAATCTGCCGCTGACCAGTCCAGAACGCACACTTATTCGGAGTGTAGCGTCCCCAAGGTCACTGGGCAACCCATGAGCCATTGACTTTGGCCCTCCTCCCCATACATCAATGGGAGGATGCGTTATATCTAAAATATTTATCCTAACTGTCTAGTAGGGGTCGTGTGGTAACTGTGTTCAGGTTTTGAAAGCAGGAGTTGATCTGTGGCACCACTCCTCCTATGCCAAATGTCCGGCGGGGTCAGCGGTTAGGAATGGTGCCATTCTACCCAACTGCCTTCTCGACGTGGGTTGTTCAGAAAAGATGACTTGGGAAAGGTTTAACAGTATATTTGGTGGTGTTATATCACAGTTATTCCTTTGCCTACTGGTCGGAGACCAGCTCTTAGGCTACCTTGGATTGCTAGCTAAGTTCGTAGGTTACTGGAGATCAGAAAACCCATATGGCGCATCCATACCAACAAATAATAGGGCATTTAGGCTTGAATATTGAGAGGTTACAAACTAACGTAAGTCAATCATTGATGTATATTGGACAGTGTGCAAAATGTCATTAGTGGATAATTCTCTGTAACTTTCTATACTCCTGTTCCTTCACGTTTTGAGCGGGACTGGGAGAAGTGAGGAAACCTCAGCCGTATGGAGAGGAGGAAGACGTGACGCAACCGGGCCTGGCCGATGCAGAAATTTTATCTGGGCGCTTTAGCCTGGTGTGATCACAGCCTGTTCCAAAAGCTAAGTTTGTATAATATTCGGGTGGATTATAGGTGCTCTCCCAGGGTGACCGGAGTCCGGGACTTGGTATCGCGACAAGCGGTAGCAGTTCCTTTAAGTGATCGCACTCTGGAGAGAACATGTTTTTCACACAGACAGTCATCGCAAAGGTTAACGCGGACTGATAGACTACCATCCTTTGCGACGAAGGGAGATTATCCAAATCAACTGGAGGGCCTCTAACAGCGATCCAAAAAAATATTGTTTCTTGAGGATTGTTTCAACACAGGTCATTTTCTAAAGGCGGAGGATACACTTTTAAGCCGTTTGGATAACTCGGCCCCCCATAGCGTTGTTCACCCTAGGCTATCGAGGGAGAAGCGGTGACCTAATAACAACCAGCAAGATCACTTACCAAGTCGATCAGCATATAGGTCAACTTTATCAGCCCAGAACCAGCAGTCTCACGAGAACCCAGTTCATACACCCACTACAGGGCAAAGAAGAGAGTGAGATCAAACTTCTGCTCACACAGAGTATGTGCCTTATGGAACGCTGTACCGAAGGAAGTAGCCACAGTTACATCGATTGGCTCCTTCAAGCGGCTACCAGATTAGTACGTTAGCGCAAACGGCCTATGCTCGTCCCCCCTGTATTCCTCAGCCCTAGTATCTGCATCAAGAGGCGTCTCTCCCCCACATGTTTACTGGTAACACTTATTTTTCCATAAGTACTTCACACTGCTTTTTCTCTCATTCGCCACTCACCCTATTTCTAGCACTTCTTAAGTACCGCTTAACGCTTACTTGAAGGTGCTTACAAAAACAGGGACTGTAAACGTTAGTTTGTCTCATCAGCAGTTTCGCTGTCTCCCAAACAAATCAATCTGCAATTCAAAAACAAAAAATACCTTCAGATGGACAATCACTACCTCCAAAGCTAAAAGCAGGAAAAATGTGAAGACTTCTGAGGCCTCCGAACGGGTATAACCGGACATAAATAACTGATGCTCAAGGCTTAGAAGTGAGAGCTCAAAAACTACAAGTTTCCTCTCCTCGTACTATTGTTGTTGGATGTTAGATGTACCGGTGGAGCTGAAGGTCGAAAGGTTTTGAAGAGAGTGGTTTCGTTCAAGATTTGAAAAAGATTTTATAATTTCGGGTAACTTTTTCGTCACATGTTTGGTCTTGATTTGTAGCTATTATTTCTAACTCCATAGCTTTTTTTAAACTTAACTTATAATGAGTGCTATTACCGTTCAGCTGCATAGCAACTTTATTCTTCACAAAGTGCAGTAGTTAATATATTCAAAATGTCCTACAGTTCTTCAGGCTCTCATTTGACTGTCCTATTTTGTTCACCGTGCTTTCATCCTAACGTAGAATCATATCGTACTATTTGCGCATGCGTTCATCAACACTGGAGTACAACCGAACATAAATAACCGAGCCTCAAGACCTATAGGTCTATAGAACTATAGGTTTCCTCTACTCGTACTGTTGATGTTGGATCTTGTTGGATTGGCAGACGAACTGTAGATTTTAATTTCAGACCATTTTTTCAAGCATATTTGTGGTTTTCTGTGCGTAACCGTACTGCAATGTTGCTTCATCATTGTCAATTATGAGGTCGCGGAAATCAGGATTGGGGGATTTATACTGGAGAATGGGGAAGTATCGGGAAAGCACCCCTTCCTAAGAAGTTAGGCACATAACACCAGTCTTCAAAAGAGGTCGACGAAGCAACCCGAAGAAATACAGACCGGTAGCCCTCTTATCCAAGGTAGTGAAATCATTGATTTCTGATGGACTGAGGGATCACCTCATAAATATCAACTTCTTTACCCCCAACAACACAAATTCGAAAAAGGATACTCCTGCATTACTAATCTGCTCACTGCAGTAGGTAGCTGGACTAGTATTGTCGACCGTCGAGGTCGAATTGATGTTATTTATTTGCACTTTGCTAAAGTGTTTGATCATGTTAATCATGACTACCTTATTGATAGATTGAGATTGATCAGGGTAAGACCACCACTCACTAACTGGTTGTCTTCATATCTTCTCTGCAGAAGGACAAATTAAGCTTAGAATGGATCCAAAGGCACTTGACCAGACCTTTTCGAGGACTTAGGTCTAAAACATATCAAGAACGACTGGTTGCGCTGGATCTGTATTCCCTGCAATATAGAAGGCAAAGAGGAAACTTGATAATGACTCGCAACATTTTGAACACCCCTGGACACCCACTCCGCCACATTAAATCTTAGCTGCAGCACTAATCTTAGAGGACACATACAAAAACCAAGCCTGGAACATAGCAGGTTAGGTGTCAGGCACAACTTCTATTTCCTAAGAGTTTTTAAACCCTGGAATACTCTTCTTCCAGACGTGATTCAGGCTACTTCGTCTGAATCCATTAAACGCCGGTCGGATACTTATTTGATATGTGGCTGGGATGTGCCCAGAAGTAATTGAGTTTTTACGTTTTAACCGCCACTTTTTCCTTCCTTTTTACTTGTATATAGGTTAACAACCACATAAAGTAGTGAGCCATGGATTCCAGACGCGGAAGCCAGTTGAGCGAAGGCTTCTGTTCCGTCAACAACTATTTCAAGTATTAGAACTAACACGCATAATAAAGCCAGGTCAACATTTTCACTGGGCGAGACGAGAAGTTTTGCAGCATATCTCACTTGTCCCTGTACTCTCCCCGTCCTTTCTCCCTGCTCTGTATTTCGTCCTGCATCTGGCCTAGTCTTTTCGCTGGTCCACGTAGTTCTAGAAAATCCAGTCCCAGGTTTTTGTGACTCCACAAACCTACTGTGAAGGCTGCAGCAATTAGGGAGAAATTCAAGGCGTCGATTATTTTTTTTGTTTAAAATGTCTCCTGGGAAACCGTGGTTGAAATAGTAACAGCAGTTAATTGCAAGTCTGGGTAAGTGCCACTGTACAGCCGGTAAACTTACTGTCGATCTTTGACAATCACCTTTTAGAAACATTGGTTCAGTAACATTACAACCCGACTGGCTTCTAATCTGACCTATCGCAAACCTCCAGTCAATTCACATCACTGAGAACACTGAGGTAGCTTTCAGTAAAAAGCTGGCTAAACAATTGCCGGAAAATCCAACACCACCCATCCCGAGACCTAGTGACATTCCTCGTCTGCTGCAAAAGCAGTATTGAATACCACAACCGACTGTCAAAGAGTGATTGACAGTGGGGTCTCAATGACCTCTTAATTAGTGGATGCATATCAATGCATCCATGCGAGGCCTGAGCATGACGAGGAGTGGAAGCAACTCAAATGTAGACGGACTAAGTCTGTGCCGTGACCACGAGCAACGGTGAGCAACGAAGGCCATAAAGATAATAAAGGCAACAGGAATAGGTAAAAGTTAGCAGTTATTTAGACTTTTTGAGGAGACGGGTCGGACGTTTAAGGGTTAGTAAGATTATAGCGGAAAAGTATAGGTCTGTGATTCACATAGAGGAAACTACTGGGATGATGAGTGGAACATTTCGGGGATTCTGTTACACTGTATACAATCAGCTTCTGAACGGAACAACCTAAATTTGGGCGTATCAACCAGACATTCATTCCCTCTTGGTTCTGAAATAATGGCACACACAAAGGCGTCCTACATTAGCTATATTCCTTAACCTGGAAAGAGACATTCCGCCACATCAATCGAGATGCCTTATGGCTGTCTGTCACTGAAAGTAGTTCAGGGCAAGTATATCACTATGTTAAAAGCTCTGTACTCGGACACCCGTGAGCGTGTCAGGGCCAACGATTAGTTATTAAGTAGTGTCCGCCTTAAGTGTTCACTCTCGCCATGCGTATTCACCTTGACCAGAAACGTGATTATGCAGTTTGTTTAACTTCTCAGACATGAATCTTGTCATAGAATCCTTAATAAATCTAAATCATGCAGACGAGAGCCTTACTAGGTGAAGACAGTGAAACGATACAGAGTCTACTAGACACCTTGAGTGGCAGTTTGCGAATGTTTGGGATGCGTTTCTCGCCGCATAAGTGCAAATTGTTACTCCAGGAATGGTCTTCATTGGTGCTTTGTCTAAAAATAAGGAGTGACATAGTTGAGTGAGTTAACTACTTCACTTGTCTAGGAATTCAGATCACCGACCGACGAAATCTCTCTACAGATACTAAAGGCTTGCTTAGGATTCACCAACCTAAGCCATTTACGGAGCTGCCATGATATCCGATTGTCTATATAGGGTCGATCGTGCTTAGCATCAGTCCTGTCTATTCTACTTTATAGGTGTGAATTATGAACATTAAGAGTAGAGGATATGAGGTTTTAGATCTTCGACTACCATTGCCCTCGTTACATAGGTAATCTACCATGGTGTCACCAAATCAGTAGCGTAGAAGTTAGGTGTAGAGTCTTGAGCGGAAGAGGAAAGTCAGCTGATGAGATTTTAAATCTTTACCAGTGAAGTGCATAGGACATATGTTACTCATCTTTAATAGTCGTCTCCTACGTCGCACAATGTTTGCTCAAGTAGTAAGTTTTAATATAATGAATAAACCTTACTCGGCGCTCAACTTCTTTCAGGACATTCTTAACAACTGTGACTTGGATGTTTATAATTAGCTCAGTTAGGTTTAAGCTCATGAAAGGCTTGTAACGGCCAGACTAAGACACGGCATCACTGCATAAAATCTTTGACTGTTGGTATGGGCAGTGGTCGGGTGTTTGGTTAGTGTTCGCGTGAAAACAAATTGCTGGTTCGGTACTCTAGGTGACTCAGCTCAGAATCAGTTAAAGCTGCACCCACACATCCCCACATTATTCCCATGTTAATTTTCATACTGAATTCAGAATTCTCTTATTCTGCCTTCCTCTCCTCCTACTACTTTTTGTGACTTTTGACTGATTCTTCTATATTTCTATCTCTCATCGTGCATTGTTACTTGATGTGCTGTTAGTTGTGGCAACTCAAACTGTTATGCTGTGGTATATATATATATATATATATATATATATATATATATATATATATATATATATAACAGCAAGGTTCAACTGAAAAGGGAGGAAAGTCACAATCGTACAATGCTAAGCACCTAAAAATGATGCAGATGAAGAGGAGAAGGAGGAATTCTACAGACAACTACAGTCAGCACTGGACAAGATCTCAGTTGGCGACATCAAAATCCTAATGGGCGACGTGTATGCCAAACTGGGAGCGGACAACACAGGAAGAGAACTAACCATGGGTCAAGAAGCGCTCGGTGAAATGAACGAGAAAGGAGAATTGTTTGCAGAATTCTGTGCATTCAGCGATTTGATGATTGGAGGCACTGTGTTCAAGCACAGGGATATCCACAAAGCGACATGGATTTCACCAGACACCAGACACACTAAAACCAGATCGACTTTAACTCAATGTGAAGAAAGTGGAGACGCAGTCGGCCTACTTGACACAAGGTCAAGAAGAAGAGCAGATGAAGGCTCAGACCACCATCTAGTGCGAGAAAACTACCTTTAATTCAGAGGAGTGGGTGATAGATCATATTTTGGGTTCATTACCCAGAACAGAAACCGAACTGAAGGACGAAACTACGCAGGACAACTTCACGTCAGCTATCAGGAAAAAAATGGGATATATCGAGCAACATCCCTGAAGAGACCTGTGTGAATGAACACTGGAACTTTTTGAAGGTGATGTGGAAAGAAACCTGAATAACCGTATTAGGAAGGAAGAAGAAGGAAGATAAGGAATGGATCTTCACGGATACATGGAAGCTGGTAGAGGAGAGGAAGGTGCTGGAGCAGAAGATAAACCAGTCCAGGGATGAACGACGAGAAGAGGAACTGAGTACAGTGTATACAACACTACACTGGACAAAGAAGTGAAGAAGAGTGCACGGAAAGACAAAAGACACTTCTACGAAACACTGGCAAGTGAAGCAGAACAGGCTGCAGGTAGGAGAGATAGAGATCTGACAACTGTGTCAAATAACCAGGTTACTATCTGGGAGGGAAGAGATCGACACAGATGAAACCAATAAAAGGTGGTGAAGGAAATTTAATTACCAAAGAAGAGAAGCAAAGGAAACGATGGGCTGACCACTTCAAAAAGCTCTTGAATCAACCACCACCTACACTTCGTCCAGAAATACCACCTGCAGCCTAGCCATAGAACTACAAGTGAACACAAATCCTCCAACAAAAATGGAAGTTCTGAACGCCGTAAAGCTGCTGAAATGCGGGAAAGCAGCAGGACCAGATGGAATCCCGCCAGAAGCACTGAGAACAGGCTCAGAGACAATGGCGGACATGCTCACAGCACTATTGCAGAAGGTCTGGAAGGAAAGGGAGGTACCTGCCGACTGTCTAACAGAAGGGCTATCTTGTCGAACTCCCGAAGAAGGGCTACCTAAGTGCTTGCAAGAACTGGCGCGGAACCATGCTGCTGTCCACCCCAAGCAAAATATTATGCCGTATCATCCTGGATAGACTAAAGGATGCGCTGGATTCAGGAAGTACAGATCATGTGCTGACCAAATTGCAACGCTACACTACGCATCATCATAGAACAGAGGACAGAATGGCAGTCAACCCTCTACCTCAACTTCAGCGACTTTGATAAGGCCTTTGACAGCGTTGACTGAGAAGTAATTTGGGAGTTGCTTCAACACTACGGAATACCACAAACCTCTATCAACTTCATTTAACAACTATATGAAGACGCCACATGCCAAGTGATTCACAGTGGGAAGCTCAGTGATGCCTTTGAAGTGAAGTGAAGATAGGAAGGAGTATGACAAGGCTGCCTACTATCACCACCCATGATATTCCTGATTGTGGTGGACTGGATCATGCAGTAGACAACAGTGAGGAGCTGTGAGAAGAGGGGATACGCTGGCTGAACCTGGGAAAAGATCCTAGAAGGTTTGGATTTCGCTGATGACTTGTGTCTAATGTCTTGTGGCACAAACTTGAAGATCTACAGGCGAAAACTAACAAGTTGACAGAAGAGCGAGGCAGCGAAGACGGGACTTCAAGTGAATGTAGAGAAGACAGAGGTGAAGAAGGTACCCAACCAACACCACCACTGACAACAACAAGCTCCAATCACCATGAGCGATAGAAACTTAAAGGGAGTAGCCTCTTTCACCTACAGTTACCCAGGCAGCATTGTTTCAACTACAGGCGGCATAGAGGAGGACGTGAAAGCCAGCCAGGATCGGAGAAGCAAGACAGGCGTTCATTAACCTGAAACCAGTGTGGAGATCTTCTGCACACAGCATGTGGAACAGGATCCGGATTTCCAACACCAATACCAGTCAAGTCAGTGCTTCTGTATGGTTCAGAGACTTGGCGCGTTACGAAAGGGATTTCCAACAAACCACAGACATTCATCAACAACTGCCTAATCTGGCTCGTTACTGAAGGTCAGATGGCTAGAAAGAATGAGTAACAAGGAACTCTGGCAACGAACCAACCAAGAACCTATCATTCAACAAATATGCAGAAGGAAGTGGAGATGGATTGGGTATACACTGAGAAGGCCGACTGGGGACATCACGCGTCAGGCCAGGTACTCGAGTGGAACCCAGATGGGAAACGGCGAGTTGAGTGTTGGATATGAAAGTGACATGGAGGAGATCGTGTGGGGAAGAAATGAGAGCTTCTGGGCTTTCGTGAAACCAGGTTCAAAAGATTGCAGAGAAGAGAGTTGAATGGAGACGTGCTACTGAAGGCCTATGTTTCATTAGGAACCCAAGGGATAAATAGATAATAAATGTTATATATATATATATATATATATATATATATATATATATATATATATATATAATTGGCTTCTTGCTTCCAGTGGCTCAAATGAACTGGAACAGCTTTCGACTGTTGGCAGATGCGATGGGTGTGCCGGAAGTTGGTCGTCGGTCAGTTTAAAGTCATTCTATAGTAATTTTAAGACGGCAGAATTCTTCAGTTCTACCATGAAAAATTTCACGATTAAGTCATCAAGCTCAGAAAAACCACCTTCACCGAGATCATGTATGCATCCAAGCTAGGAATTTTCTCCGTCATTTTACGCAACATTCCCGAATTCTTTCAGAGTGTTGAAAATGCGCACACACTTTACTCTTGCCCTGAACCTCAAGTATTTTGCTATCATTTTAAGTGTATGTTTTGTTCTCGTTTTCACCATTTTCTTTGTGTATTCCTCTCAGATTTCTTACGTATCTTGTTGATTTCTCCGCTTCATTTCATAACGTGGCACATTTCAACTTAAGCTACCTAATACATGATTGTTTCACGTCTCTTGTCACTGTTTATGTTGTCTTCAGATTTGAAATAAAACTCGTAATGTATTCAAGTTAATGCTTTAAATATCATAGCTGATTTTTAATTGTATACTAACTTTGAGTAATATTTGGTTAAACTTTGCTTTAATCTAACTTTTATTTCAGATATTTTTCAAATGATTGAAAGCAAGGTCCGAAGTGTACAGTATATTTTCGAATTTCCACAAATCACAGACTTGTTTGATATCTCTGAAAGACAGGGACAAGGCACATTTGCATCTGTTCTAGCCGTGAAAAATAAACGCAATCCTGATGAGTCCAAATATTATGCCTTAAAAATGATTATTCCAACAGTTGATATTCGAAGGATTGAGAATGAAATTCGTATTTTACGAAGACTAGGGTAAATTGAACTGTTAATTTCTGTTTATTTATTTTTATTTTTTAGTGGTAAACACAATGTGATACAAATGCATACAGCAATGCGAATTCGTGATCATGTCTTTATTTTAATGCCTTTTATTGATTATGTCCCTTTTACAGTGAGTTAATAGATTATTGTTTCCTAGCTGTATTTTTTTCCTTTTTGTTTCTAGGATTATTATTTAACAGCTGATGAAAAAGAAATCAAACGTTATATGCGTGCACTTCTGTCAGCCTTAGCACATGTTCATAAGTTTAAGATAATTCATCGTGATATAAAGCCTACAAACTTTCTTATGGATCAAAATACTAGACAGTAATATTTTCCTACAGTTTTATACCACTGCATAGCTTTTTTCTTGTAGACTTCGGTTTAGCACATTCAGAAGAATTTGGAGATATTGATGAAAGATGGGAGAGGAAATTTGAAGTCAAGCGTATTTCAGATACAAAAAAAGATGAAATAAGAAAAAGGGTTCCAGACTGTATCCAGGTAACAAACTAACCTAACCATTATATCGTAATTTTATCATAAAATTCGCGGTAATTTGTTTTGATGACAAACTTAGTGATACATAGTAATACACAATATGCAAAAAATCTTAGTGAGTTATTGGCTTGATCTTAACAAATACTTCTTATTTTGAAGTTAAGAGAATTTACTCAAGTTCTTTCATAGAAATCTGGAGTCTATTATAAACGTGCTACCATTGAAGAAACAGAAGACAACTCGACGAGAGAATGTTTATTACGAACAATTGGAATGGTAGTGGTTATATATGGTAATCCTTGCACTAACGCAGCCATTTGCAAATGTCTTCGTTTCCTCTCCGTTCCTGTCTTGATTTGCTCTTGACTGGCTCTTCTTACACTCTTATCAGCAGCATCCCCTGTAATACACCTGTGTTGTCCCCTGCGTTGCACTTGGCAGAAACCTTACCCATTGCCGGTAATTCCCTATGATTCCTGCCACCCTCTCGATATATACTACTTATATCCGTTGTTATCAGCAACACCCACTACATTATGAGTTTATATTTGTTTTAAAATAGAAAGTGAACTGGTTTTATTTGTCGACCAGCGGAATTTTTTTAGGCAACTTCATCAGCTGAAATGAGTCGATCACTATCAAAATCTTGATACAAATTCAAAAGATCTCTAAAGAAGTGTCATTCTTTTCAGCGATATCATTCCCAAGCTGTGCAATAGCACATATATATTATTTAAATTCCCATGTTAACAGAAAAGAAATGTTTCGTAAAATATTTTTGAACGAAATTCAATTTTAATTACAAATCGGGAGATTGGAAAAAGAATTTAGTTATGTTTAAAGCAGCAGTGAGGAAACGACCTATCAACACCGAAGTAACATTAAGTTACTAATGTAAGGAATATGATATGGTTAAAGCGACTGTTCATCGAAAGGTAAATATATTTCACAGCAGATCAGTCATTGGTATTTTCTAAAGAATTTTCTGCATGTGATAGAATCGTTAAGTTGATGATTTCGATATTCAGGGTTGTAAACATGAAAAGCTGTTCTGTAGATAATATTATGAATTTTGTACCTGTTCTAGTGGCTGAAACTTATATTAGTGGGTACATAAGAGTTGAAGCTGGTCAAACTGAAAAAATATAACAGCGGTTAATTAGGTCACTAGCATTGCTCTTGTATGGTGGAGTCACCATGTGAGAAATGTAGAGGTCAGGTGAAGATTATTAGGTGTGTCAGTCGATAAGGTTGTGAACCTTGATCAACTTAGACGGGTTGGACACTTACTGCACCCACCCGCCTACCTTGTCGTGAAATGTCAGGAGAAGTCAGATTGGGTTGGAAGAAGATCTTAGGTAACCGGACCAAAATGTGGCACCAACCCATGAAGTTTTCGACTGTAGATCTGAGCCGTGTAGACTATCTGGCTAGGATCCTCAAATCGATGGTTGAAAACTCTTGGTGACATAGTTGAAAATCGGTCACAGTTGTATAGATGTATTCATTCACTGATGTCTTCTAAAGCTTGAAAATTTACACTAACCGTTATATTTAAATTGTTTATTCTCTTGCACAACTTCGTTTACTGTGATATCACTCTTTTTCTATCCACCTATTCTGTATATACTACTGTGAAATGTAGCAACTTGAGGTAATGCACGTGTGTACGAGGTTGTACGTTGGTTTTGTGTCTGTCTGTATTTACTCTGTAGACAAATGTAGACTCCCATATTGAGATATTCAAGATGTTAGGAATAAGTGGTTATTGCCTTCACAGTTGGGGTCCGCGTTACAACTGAGATCGGCGGTTGAGTACACATTAGGTAATATGACCCGGAATCGATCGCAGTAGAACAGATGTATACAAATATTATTTTCATCTTAATCATCAATACTGATTTTTCCTTGCTCTCAATAACTTCCTACCGATTTTGACTCCTTTTTTACTGAATATAAGAGCAAAACTTGTGAACTGTGGTAGAATGTAATTCCATTTTTATTGATTTATTAGATTTACCACACAGTGTAACAGTATTGTTTATTGGATTACGTTTCGGACATAATTTATTGTCCATAGTCATATCAAGATAACTACACAACTTTGAGATATCCTGTGTATAGTCCTAATTTCCTTATCCTTTTGTGAGATGGGTAGTAAGATTTTCCATATATCCGGAACAGGTGCTGAGTCATTCCTATTGCATGTGTTAGGTGTTGATTCGATAAACAAAGATTCACTTATCAATCTCACCCTGCACCCTGTTATGTTAGTTTTAAGAATTTTCACCCTGTCCCATCCTATTGTGTGGTTGTGTGTAACTGCATGCATAGCTATGGCTGAGCTTTTTTCTAAATTGCTTACCTTACTAGGATCTACCAATTTTGACCTAGCTAGGTTTTTGTGTTCGGATAGCCTAATTGATCCTGGTCGACTACTTTGACTTATGTATTTGACCTGGCAGTCGTTGCAAGGGATTTGGTAAATTAAGTTATTCTGCTTAATTGGGTCAATAGGATCCTTTTACCTACAAGGCTTATTTTTAAGTAAGTTTGTAGGTTTAAATGCCACTCTAATCCCAGCCTTATTGAGAATTCTGGGTAGTGTTTCTGAGGTGCCTTCTGGACTGCCTTGGACTGTTCATACAATATCAAGTCTCATGGTGATATTGTCTGACTGATTGTTGTCTTTGAGGGATGTCGTTCAAGGTTGATCACAACAGTTCACATTTACTCATTCTTTATCGTCTTTCTATGCTTGAATATCTTATTGAAGTATAGATTAACTAGGCATATCCATTTCCTATCAAAATATGTTATTTTTTAAAATCATTTTTACCATCTGAGCCATGGTTCAGCAGACTAGTATTGATATTGAGCGATGATTGAGGGTGAAGTGAACATTTGGACCGCCGCCAGATTCGAACCAGTGACCACCGGGTTTCCGGCCCTATGCTGTACCAACTGAGCAACGTTATTTTTCTTGTTTATTTCCAATTATTTGTTTCCTAATCCAGGTGTTTTTGAAATCATATCCATTCGTAAAATGTACGGTTGAAGACGTGTGTATTGTTGTGGTCATAAAACTCCTAACTAGACTAAAATTAGACAGCCAGTTGGTTTTAAACCCATACAAGCAAGTTAAAAACCGGTTAGATTATGAATTTTCAGCTTAAAGTGCTGAAGTTAAAAATTCCGTATATTCTGCGGAGACCGATTCTGTATTGTTGTGTAATAAACCATGTTAAGAAATTCGGTCAGGTAATTGCTTTTGCTGTGGATGGGATACAACGTATGTCTAAATGATTAACAGTATATAAGAAGCCTGTTCTAGTTTGCATTGTTGACCACCACTAAACAAATAACTTATCTTCAGTGACTTTGTTTCCACCAAACCAAACATCCATCCATAAATATGTTCTAGAAGAGAGTAACTCCGATGAGGAAATTTAAATAAGCGAAAATAAACAATATTGATATAGATGATATCAGTAGTAAGAATTCGAATTTTAAAACAATAAATAATACCGACGGAAATTTGTGTAGTCTCGAACTAAAATTAACGAAAAGAATAAGTTGTTTTGTAGAGTGAATAATTTCATTGAAATGGAATGAGTATTATGTAGTAGCAACGGAGGTGGTTAAGATTAAATACAAAAAGGATGCAAAAAACTAATTAAGATAGTAAGAGGAAGTAAATTTAATGTTATTATTACTGTGTAAACATAGGCTGAACATATATACTCTGTAGACAAAGATTAACGTCCAATCTGTGAGTAAGTAGTTAAACTCTCTGTGGTGTTAGGGGGTGTTAAACGTAAATATCATTGAAAATTTAAAAAAATTTCTGTAAAGAATTGTAAAACTGTACTGTACGTACGTGTTAAAAGTCTGGCATCACCACCATCTAATATACTCTCCTATGTAGATGCAAATGAACTAGTCGATGCTCATTAAACCAATTAGTCTTTTATATGTTTTACAGTGCGTAAAGATTAAGTGAATTTTCTTTGCAAAGAGAATGCCCTTGAGTGTGTTTTCTATAAAAGACCAAGTAATTTGGAATGAATGTCTTGTTCAAGTGTGTGTAGTCAAAAGTGAAACCTATGCTTATTTTGTCAGGAGTAATTACAGTGTCCGATTGTTGAAACGGAAGAAGATAGATTCGTTTTCAAATTTGACCTTTGAGTTAAAACTTAGTCCCTATAGGTCGGTGCAAGACCAACAACTGTTTACTCCTTTTTTGATATTTACGCAAACATAGTTTACTGGTCTAGCCGCTGAGTTGCAGCTTCACACACTGCTATAAGTTTGATCTAGGAGAATGAATGAAGTGATGTAGCACTCGTTTACATGTATAGCTCACAACCCTTATGCTTAAAAGTGCATGGCATCAGTGAGATATTCATAGTTGTTCACCATTTGTAAATCCTTGCTTGCTTAACGAATTTGAACGATTGTGTTCCACTGTATCGAGGAAAATTCAGTGATTGTTTTTACTTGTCAATGAAAAATCTCATGTAGTACATTTTCATTTTAGTCAGATTTCGGTATATCAGTGAACTCTACACAACGCGTAAGTTTGGCAAACAAAGAAAATAGTAAAACACATAAGTGGGATACTATGGATTCTGGGAGTTCTAGATTCAGTTTCAAATGCAATTCTCCGAAAATTGACGGCATGTCCTCATTCAAAGGTCCAACCGTGAAATCCAATCAGCAGTTATCGAATACTTCAACACAATGTTTAGGACAGGGTGGATGTGTCTGTGGTTTACGCCTTACAGTGTGTCGAGGTTGTCGACACTTACCTCGATCTCCAGCCGTTCGGAGAGGCGGAACTCTTGGATTTAGACCTCCAGAAGTAATGATGCGTCATGTAGAACAAACAACTGCTGTCGACATATGGGCTGTTGGAGTTATATTCCTCTCTTTCCTGTCCGGTCGTTATCCTTTCATAAAAGTAGATGACGATTTGGATGTACTTCATGCTTTCACTCACCTGGTTGGATATGAGCGTATGCAAATGGGTGCCAGAAGTATTGGGAGAAAACTCGTGCTTGAACCTAAACCACCACCTATGGAAGCTAGTGATTCACCTGCTGCGTGGCTTAAAACCAGGTAATTTGCTTTAGCACTATATATATATATATATATATATATACATATGTATATATATATATACATATGTATATATATATATATATATATATATATATATATATATATATATATAATTATTATTGCGTCCTGTGATTAATTTATAACCGAATAACTGACTTTATGTGGCTTAATTATCATTTTAGACCGCGTCTTCGGTGAAAATGTGAGAAATAATTTTTTCATTACTTCTCCATAACTGAAATTACGACATATTTCTTTGTTACTTCTGTTCTAGTAGTCAGAACGATTGAGAAATGGAAGGCTTACTGATTTAGTTCGCTCCTACTGCCTAACCTTACAACAGTAGTACCACTAATCGATGCGAAAAGTGAATGAAACAATAACGATTTGATTTGTTTCTTTCAGCTACAGCAGTGAGCTAAATTTCGATGTTTTGCAAGCAATAGTTTTAATCCACCTAACATCACAGTCTACATGAGTAGATTCCTGCCATTACAAATCTACCGCTATCTGTTGCTACATCTCAGCCTCGCATCTACCAGTGCACTTCTGCTCCGATTGTCATGACATTTTGAACGGATAACTGATCAACTGGTGCAGCATACCTGAAATCTAACTCATAAGTTCGAAACTCCATCTGTTGTCATTAGGTTGGATACCCAAATACAATCTTCGATACTGTAGCCACTAACATTGCTCCATTTACCGAATGAAAATGCCTCATGACAAACATGGTGTTTCACTAGTAATGTTTTGTAAGTATAGAGTGTAGTGTAAGTAAGTGACCACTTACAAATAAGTTCATTAAGCACTTTGATAGATGTTAGTTAGATGGAGGCAAGCGGCAGTAAGCTCTAGACATAGGTTACGTGCTCTTTAGGACTCGTCAGCAAGGTGTATCTACAGTCTTTATGGAACTGAAGTCCCCCCTGGGATTCGAACCGGTCACACAGTGCTGCAGTCAGAGACGTTACCACTGAGCTATTCGAGCTGAAAAGTAAGTGCATCAAGCGGTGAAGCGAACCTATTGCGTGGAAACGTATATTGTCATCTAACTGCGTAAACGTTGGAAATGGAGCTATGCTCGTTACATGTGGTCCACTAATTGAAAATCGACTGCGTAAATCAATAACTCGCGACTCCACAGTCTAGCACGTAGATTGGTGTGAATTTGGTGAGTGGTAGATTGGTGTACACAGATCTACAATCGACTACTCTTATTACTTAATTGTATTGTTTCTGACGTGATTGATCGCTACAGTTTTTATTTACGAATTTTGCATGTACTCCTCTCTTACAATGATGGTGACGTTTCAAGAATTTATCTGAATTCTGAGTGACTGGTCAGTGTAGGATGCATAGACAACACAATCTTTTGAGATGCAAACTTTGAATCCAAAGTGTCTGGAATGCTGTGGTTTAGAATTTCAAAATGACTTTCACTTGTTTGTACTTAGCTTGGAGCACAAACAATAGTCGTACTTCATCTACTTATTCATCTCCATTGACCACATAATAGGGACCGAACAGAGATAAGAGAACTAGGTGTTTACCCGCCTGCATCGATTTCAGTATGAATCAAATACCCACTCATAAATAACAATAATGGTTCTTCATACGATTGTATTTTGTGACTATAGAGCATAACCATTGTGAACTTATTTTGTGATAAGAATGTTCTTATTTTGACTAGTGTTGTTTTAGGGCGTGTTAGTCATTAGTTCTTACCACTAGGCAAACAAGTTCTGTCATCGTGGTTACTCCGCTTAGTGATCTTTGTTGTTGGCTGACAGAAAGATAACTTCGTATTGACTTATACATATGATCTGAATTACAGTTATAGAACTTTAATTCAAATTATCGAGGAAGCGTAAGTTAGCTAATTTATGATAAGACCATTCTTAGTAATCGAACAGTAACATTATATTTCTCATTCCTTATGAGAAATTAACGTGATTCACTTTCTTTTTCATGTTTTGTTACACTACTCCCTCCCTGTTAATAATGACATTTTTGGGAACTAAGTGACCCTGGGCCTCACTGAGTTTCACTTCTATTTAGTTGGTGAAATGTGCATCTTACTCATTTGCTTTTATCTATTGGTCTGTCTAATTCTTATGTACATGTAATGAGGTTTTTATGAAATCACACTGAACTAGTTGACGATCAGTGTACGTAATAATGATGTAGGCTTCGCACAACTGAAGTGGAAAGTACTTCTGCATGGTTAGTAGGAGTCTTCATTTGCATTCGTCCTTCGCAGTAAATTTCTGGAATTAATCGAAAAGTTTACGTGTTTGTACAGACAAACAGATCTAAGTGACTCTGTGTTGGTGCATGTGTGACTGATGGGACTTCCAGCTGTTTACTGAAAAATAAAGCAGTATGTGACAATGCAAGTCACATTTCACATCATTGCAAAGTTGTTCTACCTGTGAAAGGTCGGTTGGTTAGTGCTTGAATGTGGATACTCCCACTCTACTATAGTATGTAGCCAGGCCTTCCAGTTTGCAATTTCCAACAACCCATTTTTTGATCACCACTGCTTCCATAGGGTTGATTTGATCTGTGGGCTGGCAGTATCTGTTTGAGAATGATAGTAATCTTTGGTCAGCAGGTGATGAGGTTTTAAACACCTTGTTAAGTGACTTGCATATGGCTTTCATCACATATGGCGTGTCAGGGAATTCCATGGAGATAGTTGTTCAGAAACCTTATACCTGGTTGAAAGAAGCGGAGAAGTGTTCCATGTGTGCCGTGTAGCTGTCCGATAAAAGATGGTAGTATTGAGTTGGCTCCTGTTGGTGCATCAAGACTGGATAGAGTCCGTAATACCATGTCATTTAGTCGTTTAGTATGAGTCAATCAGTCCGATCTACATGGCGGCCTGATATCGGTACGTAACAACGTGTTGCCACACCTCACAGCATCAAGATGAAAGGTAGAAAAGTATGAAGGGAAGGTAATCACGAGTCGTGGAAAATTGTAGGAGAAGAGGAACAGTAATAAAAGGATTGCGAAGTTCCGCATTTACGCGCCTGATGTGGAATATGAGTCATATCTAAAGTTCCCAACCACTGATTTCAGTTGTCATGTTGGCACCAACCGGGTATTTTACATTTCTCTAAGTGGCTCAAAGCAGTAGTCAGAGACTTCATGGACTGGTGCCATGATTTAGTCTGGTTGCCTCTAACCGTTTCCAACCCTAAACTTGCTTCTGTTAACATTTCTCGACGGAGTAGATGGGAGCCAAGCATGCGTAGCACATGTCCAAGTCATCTCAGTCCATGGGAACTAACAACATCACCAATAACTTACCTCTTCTATCTACGACTGCTACTAATCTGGATAATCTAATGTGGAGATTCCACGATACACGATGCTACAAGGCAATGATAGTCGAACACCAGAACCTTTCTCGTATCCTCTGCTTTTAGTGGGCGCGTTTTACAGCCGTAGAGTAAAACAAAAGACTTCAGCACAGTACACTTGATTCTTAATCGGGATTTGAATATCGTACCGATATTATAAGCGGGGTAAGCTGGCGAAAGCGAGTGTACCCTTTTGTGTCCCTATCAACGATTTATAGACCGTCAACCGACCATGCTTGATCCGACTTTGCAAATTAAGTGATCAACGCGCTCAACTGATGCACTCCCTTTTGTTAAACGAGTTATTGGCTCAAGCCAATACTGAGACAACAGGCTGTATTTAGTATGTTTGAAACGCATATCAAACTATTACTAAGTGTTTAGAAAACTGCTTGTCACTGTTTTCACCTAGCGAGACTACATCACTCATATTTACTTAGGAGTTTTCTCTAACCAACCCATCTAAAGAGTATCCGGTTACTGTTAATTACTATTATGTATCCCTTGGGTTCCTAGTCGAATATAAGGCTTCAGTAGCATGTCGCCATTTCACTCTCTTCTCTTCAGCCTTCAAAACCTGACTTCACGAATGCCCACAAGCTTTCATTTCTTCCTCAAACCATCTCCTCCATGTCACCCTCGGCTCGGATGCCTAAATCGTCGTTTCCCCTTTGGGTTTCACTCGACAGCCTTGTCTGGTCTTGTGCGTGATGTCTCCAAATGGTCTTCTCAGTAGGTGCCCAATCCATCTTCACTTTCTCCTGCATATTCGTAAGGCGATAGGCTGTTGGTTGGTTCATTGCCAGACCAGACTTCCTTGTTGCTTATTCTTCCTGTCCTTCTCATCTGATCTTCTTTATCGCATGAGAGAGCGTAAGTGGCAGCTGTTGATGTGTGTCTTTGGTTTGTTGGAAATGATTTTCATAACACGTCAAGTCTCTGAAGCACTGACTTGACTGTTGAAAATCCGGATCTTGTTCATGCTTTATGCTGAGTGCATTGGAGTGGAGTAGATTTCCACACTGGCTTTAGGTTAATGAAGGCCTGTCTTGCTGTCTTTCCGATCCTGGCTGGCTTTGCCATGGTCATCTGTGCCGCTGCTGCCTGTAGTTGAAACGATGCTGCCTAGGTAGAGAGGTAGGTGAAAGAGACTATTTCCTTTAGATTTCTCCCGTTGATGGTGATTTGTGCTTGTTGTTGGTTACTGCTGATGCTGCACTAAATTTGTATGCTGTAAATTTTTGATATATTAGTTTCGTTTTACATTGATTCATCATTTCTTTCATGATAACAATGAAACTTGATTACAGGATTGAATATTGAAAGTTTCCAGTAATCTATTTATTTGTTCTAATGATCATGCTTCTTTGTTTAGATGCACAGCCATTAGGCGATATGAGAAGAAATTTGCTGGTTTACCCCCTTTACTCTCGAAAACTTCAATAAAGCCAACCACTGTAAATGGTGATCAATCCTCTTCAACTAATAATGCTGATATCCCCTGTGAGTCTAGTTGGAAAAATGCAACGATTGCTTTATCGTCTACACATATATTTCCTACATCAGCGTATGATCTATTAGCCCGTCTTTTGGAACCATGTCCACGTAAGCGTATAAGTGCACATGATGCACTTCGTCATCCATACTTTTGTAATTCGTCTAAAAGTCAACGGCATTCTAGTGTACCTGTACAGTATCAACAAAATTTATTGCTTCACAGAAGTACACCACGTTTAAGTTATTGTGAATCAACAAAGAATTTTATTCCTAGACCACAGTTTTGTTAAGAACGAAAAAAACAACCTAGTCTGTTTAAAAGAATATTTATTTTGTCTACATAATATAAAAACTTATATGAAAATCACTTGTTTATCTTTATCTTGTCAAACTCTGGCAACGAACCAACCAACAGCCTATCGCCTTACGAATATGCAGGAGAAAGTGAAGATGGATTGGGCACCTACTGAGAAGACCATTTGGGGACATCACGCACAAGACCAGACAAGGCTGTCGAGTGAAACCCAAAGGGGAAACGACGATTTAGGCATCCGAGCCAAGGGTGACATGGAGGAGATGGTTTGAGGAAGAAATGAAAGCTTGTGGGCATTCGTGAAGTCAGGTTTTGAAGGCTGAAGAGAAGAGAGTGAAATGGCGGCATGCTACTGAAGCCTTATATTCGACTAGGAACCTATGGGATAAATAATAATGACAAGTTATAAAATTTTGGAGAAGATAAGGTTCAGCTGCAACCGCAACCCATTTCATTGAGTTCATCGATGTGATCAAAAGCGGACCACAGTGTTTTTCTTGAGGTTTATATGGTTAAAAGGGTCGTTTACGAGATGATGGAGAATGTCTGCAACTCAGGAGGAGGATTTTAGTGATACCGTGTTTTTTGAGTTGGTTGGTGAAATCTAAACAACATCAGCGCAAACATCGGGAAGTATAGTGATCTGTTGGGTTTTCCCCACAGTTTGCTTAGTAGCTTGTGCTGATTGCCTTGCGTGTGATTGGATGTTTCTGCCAAGGTCTTATCATTGTCTCCTTATTTATTTCGATTAGTTGTCCTGTTGATGTGAACTTTGACCTCGTTTCATATTGGATGGTAGACTGGGTTAGTGTCAATATATGTATTGATCTTTGACTGAGCTGAATGCCAAGCGTTCCTTGTATTTCCTCTCTTCAAGATTTTTATATTTTCCCAGTCAAATTCATGTCCACAGTTGTGTGCATGTATTGATATGAGTGAAGATATGTTATAGCGCTCCACTGTTGGTTGATGTTCATGTAGACAGCAGATACGAAGATGGTGACCACTCTTTTTAGTATAGTGTATTTTAAAATCTTGGCAGTTGGTTATGTGCATAACACTGGAATTGTCTTCTTTTGCTTTTATGTCTTCTGGCCTGAATAACATGAGGTGAAAAGATTTTTTGGATTTGTAAGCTACAGCGGCTTTGAAAGGTTGCAGTAATCTAGTTGCAATCTCGGAGTTATTTTTCATGTAAGGTAAGACAATATGTCTGTTGGTTTCCGAAGATAACTTTTTGGTTGACGGTGAGTTTGAGAAACATCTTTTGATGAAGTTGATGTACTACAGTGTGTCTTCTCTCTTTTGAACAGGGTCTTCAAGCAACAAATTTTATGGGTTGCTGCCACTGCAGTTGGGGGTTCGAGTTCCAGGGATCGGTTCTGGTGTATGAGGCATCTCACTTCTTTTCCTAACTCTAATCAATGATTTTATGCATCCACTACCTCCATTGATTATTCAAACTCTTATAAGATATCGGAACAATTCCATTTTTACATAGGAAAACAAACAATAATAATGAAGAAAAAGTTTTTTCCCCCTATGAAATCATTCTCTTAGCTGTATATTCATGAATGTATGGTAAAAGGGATAGAACATTCCAGAGTCAGATGTCAATATTAATTACATCACAAAGGGGATTTACGTAATCGAGAAATAAACGAACTGATTACAAAGTAAAAAGAAGTAGTTACATTATGTGTGAGTTATTTAGAGTGATCGACAATCTATTATGACGTTGCCGAAGAAATGAGTAGTACATACTTCTTCTGAAAGTCTAATGATGATTTGAATTTTTGAATCGCTAATACTTCAGCTATGTTCAGATGTCATAGCCTCACTCCCTTTGAGTTGCTTGGTTGCATTTTATACAGAATTTTGAAGGACTTATCAAAAAGAGCTGGAACAATGGGCCATATCAATGTGTGTATATCATTTTACTTTCTCGTATTAGTCCGAGTACATTGGTAGTGCAATACACCAGTTTATGCAACATGCACGCAAACGATCCAACTTGATTGACTTGGGGAAAACGGAAATGCATCTTTAGCTGTGTAGCAGAACATAGTAAACTTAGAACATTTGCTTCCTTATGATAAGTCCTTCAAAATTCTGTATAAAATGCAACCAAGCAACTCAAAGGGAGTGAGGCTATGACATCTGAACATAGCTGAAGTATTAGCGATTCAAAAATTCAAATCATCATTAGACTTTCAGAAGAAGTATGTACTACTCATTTCTTCGGCAACGTCATAATAGATTGTCGATCACTCTAAATAACTCACACATAATGTAACTACTTCTTTTTACTTTGTAATCAGTTCGTTTATTTCTCGATTACGTAAATCCCCTTTGTGATGTAATTAATATTGACATCTGACTCTGGAATGTTCTATCCCTTTTACCATACATTCATGAATATACAGCTAAGAGAATGATTTCGTCGAAAAGAAAAGTGCTTCTTCGCTACAGTCGTGTGTTTTGTGATGAGATAATTTGGTACGCATCCTTTTAATCTAGAAACTAGTTTAATTTCACTAAAATTTTATGACCATTCGAAATGTGTATGTAGCTCATCACAAAAGTGTACTGTTTACAAGCTAGGTAAAGCTCTACTTGTTTTGTTATCGCAGTAGTACTTGTTTCGCATAGTTCTAGTTTCATCCTGAAAATGTAGATGAGGACGTTTAACATCATCCGAAGTTTTCTATGATACTAAATATTTCAGGATATTTTCGGATTCATGCTTTAATTGTTTTTTCATAATATCTTTCCTTGCGTAGTTTACCAATCCTACTATTCAGTTTAGAGGCTTGTGGTGGGATCCGACTGATTTCAAATTCGTACTCATCAGGAAATGACACTAGTTGGAGGACCAGTGAAAAACTGGAAGTACTAGTTAGCTGTTTCGTCCGAGTATAGGACTTGTCAGCAGCACGCACCCATGACTGTGCCAGGAATCGCACTCAGGACCTTCAGGTCTTGCAGCAAGCACACTAACTTTGAGCCAACTTGGAATCAATGGGTCTCCACAAACCTCCAAATCGAATTACTGTCCAATGCCTATGAGTGACTTGGTTCGAGATGAAAATTCTGGAGGTTCTAACGAGAAGTGGTGAGGAGTGGCGCAAACCGAATTAGATGTGATGACAGGTACTCGAGAATTGTGCTGGATGAAGGTGGCACTGTATGGCGAACTGATAGAAGTGAGGAGCTGTGTACCGTTGGATTCTGACTCAGTGGTAACGTGGTCTCCACGGGACGTAAATGTTCTTGGTTCTACCCCTGGTGGGGTTATGCCTGGGCACTGCTGTTGAGTCCCATACTAAGAGAGGTTCTCTCTCGTTGAGAAATATTCCTTTCGAGTTCAGAAAGTTGTACATGGATGGTATTAGTAAGGTTTGACGCACATCGCTTCAGTGTCTGATCATAAGAATAAATGTCATAACACCGTTTGGCTTTCCAGTTGAGTTTTGGATAGTCATAATTATGAAGACAACTGTTCAGTTTGCCGATTTTTGTATTCTTTTCCAGAAACTTGACAAAATAGCCAAAAACACAGAGTCTCTTCACTGTCACTGGCATAGTTTTATTCTTTTGAAAAACACTAGATTATTAGAAATTGGTAAGAAATAATCCTTATTTGAGGCTTTCTAATGTCTGAAAGTTCTCTATCTGATGTGAGTATACTGTCATAAAAGTTGAAGACAGGATAATGTTCTGATTATCGAATTTTTTTATAGTTAAGTTCCTTGTTCATCTCATGTTCAGATTTCCAAGTAATTGGGTAATTCTTCAATGTAGTCTATTCTTCCTCATAAGTTAATGGTGTTTTGTTATCGCTACTATCTGAAATTTCGGTTTGAAAAAGCAAAACAAAAACGCATGTAGCTTGTGTACTTTCGTAGTTTGAAATTGTTCTCATCTTGAAAGTCCCTGTGATGCCTGCAACTTGTGGAGCAGTATTGGTGGTGCTTTCTACGGCAGAATCGTACAGTGTAGGGTTGAGCTGTCTTCTTATAACTTAGCCAGTGTTCACTTTACTTGTTTCTTTGGGCAAACTGTTCCTTATCAGAGCATATTAAACCAGTTACAAGTTTTACTGGATAACCGTCTTAAAATGCTCAATTTCTACCATTGTTGTCGTTTTTTAACTCATAAGCAGTTTTATTCATGAACCACATGTCTGTGCGTGTACTGTTAGTCAATTAAGAAGCTTATACGACAGCATCAAGTCCAGTCTTAGTCTTCCTTTCCACAGTGGCTCAAGTTCTGGGATGTTGCATCTGGTGATATATTTTACGATGATAATCGTGTTAAGTATTTTCACCGAAAAATATCTCTGTGATCCTCTGACTTTCAGTTTATTTGAAACCCGTATGCAGTGTAGCGTTGGATTCGTCACTGTGAAAGTTTCGCAATAAGAAGCCTACCAATCTGCAGGATTTCTAGACTCTTGTCGATGTGTGTGCAGTGAAGGATAGGTTGTGAGAGTATTACAATTCCAGGTCTAGCACACATCAACTTTTGGGGTGATTGGCCAGGTATTGTCAAGTTTGATTCAAGAGCAGGGTCACCTGTGCATAACCAACCACATTTTTCAACGTTAAATTTGAGTCACTCGGTGTTGCACCATACGCTAGCATATCTTCGTCCCTCTTACATAGAGTTAATATTCAAAACAAATCACTGCTGAAGCATGTATGTACTGCTTTCAGGTCATCCGCACGTAGAAATGGTCTACCTACCTTGAATTATTCACATGTGCTCTTTGTGTATATTATGAAGACACTACACTGGAAAACCCCACTAATTATTCCTTTAGGCTTTCAAACAATTGAGTTAACAATTTGCTTAGTTGTGGTTAGCAGAAGAATCGGGGACGCGCGTTTCGTTTGGAACTCGTCAGCTGGATGCACATGCACCCCAGTGAGTGATTTGTTTTCACTGGGACTCGAACCTCGTACCCACTGCTTCAAACGCCAAGGTGTTATCCACTATGCCACAGATTCTTCTGCTGTCTCCAACTAAGCAAATTATTATAAGTAACAATTAAGCAATATTGAGGTATCCGCATAGGAGCCCAT